TAGAGGAGGATCAAAACCAATCGAAGAAGTATTGCTCAAATTTTTCAAAGGAAAGTGGTGTGAAAGAAGTTGTGCTCTAGACGGGGGCCCAGCCTGTGGAGGTGTCTGGAAGAGGAGGATGTAATAAGGCTGCTGAACAAAGACTTCTCAATAGATGAAGTGGAGATTGTGATCAAACAAACTGGGGGGTACATTACTCCAGGTAATGATGGCATATCATATTCTTTTATTAAAAGCTATTGGACCATTATAAAGGATGACTTTTGGAATGCTTTGAACTAATTCTTTTCTAATACTTAAATGTGTGAAACTTGGAAAGAAACTTTTATAGTGTTGATTCCCAAAGTGAGCAATCCGAGTACTCCTTCCAATTATAGACCAATCAGCTTATGCATAACTGTTTACAAAATAGCAGCCAATGTTTTATTAAGCATAATGGTTAGCATTATTCCAAAACTGATTTCAAAGGAGCACGTGGCTTTCCTTAGAGGAAGATTTCTGTCTGATCATGTTCTCTTGGCTCAAGAAATATTTCATAAGTTCTGGTATTCCAAATCCCATAAAGGTTTAGTCTCTTTTAAAATAGATATGAGGTGGCTGACTTTGAGGAAAGCATTAGAGTATTTTGGATTCCCTTTACTCTTTTTAAATTTAGTCATGGAATGTGTCAAGATCCTTCCTTTTCTTTGCTGATTAATGGAAATCGTTCTAGTTGGATCAATGCTAGAAGTGGATTCCGACAGGGATCTAATCTATCACCCTTTTTTTTTATCCTTTGTTCTCAGCTCATTTTGAATGCATGTTTGAAGGATGATTCAATTGGTATTCAGGTTACTCCACATGGCCCAAAAATACCGCATTTGCTTTATGCAGATGACATTATAATCTTTTCTGATGCTAAATTGAAGACAGTGAAGAAGATTAAATGTATATTGAAGGATTTCTGTGGTTGGACTGGACAAAAGGTGAATGAGAACAAATCAGGGATCTTGTTTGGGAATTCGGTTAGAAGAAGAAGGAAGAAGATATATCTCACATCATGGGCTTTAAAGTGGTAAAGGAGTTTAATTATCTTGGAATCAAAGTTGCTTTGAGAAGGTGTGGGATCCGAAAATTCGGCCCCGGCCTCCGCTCACTCTTTTCTTTTTATTCGGCGAAGGAGTTTTAACTGATAAGTTCCGAGGTAAATTTTGGAAGGCAGATGGGCTTGTAGATAAGACACTACCCAGAGATTTCGCCCTCGTTTGGTGAGGACTTTATGATCTGAGTTCTAGTTTCCTATAGGCGCAAGCCCCTATAGTTAATTACCCCTCCCGATCACTCAGTTCAGAGGGCCCCGGGTCATAACCGTTTATCCTGCGGTGCCATTTGGCGGCAAAACCACCGGTTAGAGAACACGTACCACGTCCTTACTAGCAGGAGATTATTTGAGAATGAATCATAGTGATATTTTTCGACTAGGCATTTAACTCTTTTGTGAGCTGAAGTAAATTTCTTATTTGTCCACCCCGGCAAACTGTTGCGGAGGGTGGATGGATTTTGCTTTAAGTGTTTGATAGTTGAATGATTTTTAATTTAAAATATTTTTGGATTTTAGATTTTTATGAAGTTTTGGATTTTGATGGGCATTTGGATATTTTGGAGGCATTTGAAAATACTTCTGAACCCCTCCGGTTGATATTAACATTCAACACGTCCATCTTCGGGGTGTTAGGGGTTATTTCTCTTTATTGATTGAACCCTGTCAACCCTATCAACTTGACGATAGGGGATCAGGTTTCGTAGGCTTTATGCCCTTGATAGTGAATTCTCATTAATTTTAGGCCTTGAAGGCCTAGTATGAATGTATTAAAACAAATACACTGGTTGTCACAACCGTGTATTTGTTTGACGATTTGAACCCTATAGACTACTATTGATCTATATAGGAAGATCGGGTTCGAACTTGAATTCACTTATTGACCTACGCAGCATCCCTAGACGTCACGTGTGAACTAATAACACGCTCGTCGGGGCCCATGCGGGTGTTTGGGGGGCATTTTGTAATTATTTGTTGAACCTTGTCGACTCCTACTTGCTTAGTAGGATCGGGTTCAAATTTAATAACCCGTGCAGCATCCCTAGACATCACGTGTGTATTAATAGCACGCTCGCTGGGGCCCATGCAGGTTTTGTGGTTGCATTTACCCCTTTTAGTGTACATATGTGTATACAAACAACAGTGTACGTGCGGGGGCACTTTGAAAGTATTTGTAGATGCCTTCTGTCCGCTTGCAAGAACGTTGCGGATCCGGTGGCGAGGCGTTGTAAATCGTAGACACATTCTGTTTGCTTGTACGAATGTTGCAGATTCGGTGGCGTAACGTTGTAAATCATAGACGTCATCTGTCTGCTTGTACGAATGTCGCAGATCCGATGGCGTGGCGTTGTAAATCGTAGATGCTTTCTGTCTGCTTGTACGAATGTTGCAGATCTGGTGGTGTGGCGTTGTAAATCGTAGACGCCTTCTGTTAGCTTGTACGAATGTCGTAGATCCGGTGGCGTGGCGTTGTAAATCGTAGACGCCTTCTGTCTGCTTGTACGAATGTTGCAGATCCGGTGGCGTGGCGTAGCAGCTTCTGAATAGAGTTATTCGCTGCTTCGTACAGGTGGATTGTCGTGCACCACTCGTTGCTTTTTGTAGGTGGATCGTAGTGCACTAACGAATCTCCTGCTTTGGATTGTAGAAACTCATATGAACTTGTATTATTTATGCATTCTGCTATGATTTTGGTCTTTACAATACATCCACTACTGATGGAGGTAGATGTATTCATCTTTAGACTGAAGTTGACTATAGGATACTGCATTTACTGTAGTTTTTATGCATCTACCCATGGGTGGATGTTGTACATACATATGTATTCGTAGAGGACTCATATGTATTGCAGATCTTCTTTGCACATATTATATATTCATTTGTGAGCATTGTGTTGTACTCATAAAGAGAATTTATAGTAGCTTGTAGGAGGGTAATGCACTTGCTTGAATGATGAGTACATATGTGATAATCCCTCAATATTGTCTTTATATGGTTTGCAACATTTATTTATATTATGATCAAACTATACTTGCCCATCTTGATCATTTCTTAGAAATAAATTAATGTTGCAAACCTGTTATCAAGCTACAAAGAATTCAAGCCATAATTTTATGACCAAATCATATCCTCCACAATCTTTTCATTATTTGCAAATAAATTACACTTGCAAGTTCTTATCCTTCAAATGTGATTTACAACAAAGTGTAAGGAATTTGATATTATCACCAATATTTTTATTCCAATCCATATGACTCTTTCAAGTCAAGTATAGTCATCCAAAAATATCATGCTAAGGTTCATGATTAAATTGTGCATTAATCCTCATTTGCTTGCATGATATTCATTTGGATGAGCTTAAATGACCAAAGTGGCTATCATAATATTCAATTGAAAGTTCTTGAATTGTTGCTTACAAGCATTTCATTTGATCCTTATTTGAATAATTATGATTGCAATTATCATTCTATACTTGTTCTAAAGTCATCATATGATGGCTTTATGATCAAAACATACCTCCAAAATTTTTGTGCTCCTTATAAACAAGCTACATTCCTCATTTCCTTGTTCTCAAAAATTCATTGTAATTTACATGATGAATGTAACTTATTCATCAATATCTTCATTTTGATTGCAATAATCCCTTGCAACTCAATTGTTATTTCCATGCCAAAGTTTGCAAATCATTTATGTATAACTCTCTTCTTGTAGGCAAGTTATACTCTTTGCCTCTACATATTGTTTGCAACATTCATGAGAATTTGTAGATATCTTGTCACACATCTTGCAATTGAATGAACTTTGCTCAATGATGAATCAAATCCCATGTTATGAGTCAATTAGGTTGACCCAAAAACTCATACCATGACATTATAATCAAATCATTAACTTTTGCAATTTTCTTTCACTTTGCTGGTTAAGATTTGCATTGTCAATCATGAACATTTAATTGTAATCTCCATTTGCTTCATATTAATAATTGTTTATAAGTTCATTTTGAAGCTTTGATCATTTTTAAGCATCATTCTCATGATTCATGATTTTTTTATTTTAAATATTAGGCTTCAGTCCAAGTTGAGCTCAATGTCATTTATTCAATATTCATTGGAATTTCAAGTTTTATGTTATCAAGTTCAAGTCCATATTCAAGTCCAAGTCCAAGTGCAAGTCCGAGTTCAAGTCCCAATCTGAGTTCAAGTTCAATTCAGGCTTAAGACGAGACTCTTCCCTTCATTCGAGTCCCCTGTAGTCCTTGCAAGTGCAATTTAATGTCCAAATTGTTCAAATAATGATTTGAGTTTGAGTTCACTTAAGTCCAAATATAGCATTATGTTCACTCGAAATTTCGGCAGCCTTCCGGCGTCTCCCCCGTTTAGGGGAAAACTACGGAAAACTATGGAAAACTGAGCCTTTCCCACCACGCTAAGAAAAACATGTATGGTAGATGCCCTCTTTCGAGGACACCGCGGCCGTGGATTTTTCGATCCCCCACCACGCTAAGAAAAGCGTGTATGGGCATTTTGAAAATATTTTGCAAGAAAAACAGTTATTTCCCCGCAAGCGGGTACTTATGGGTATCACCGCTTTGTCATACGCATCGCACCGAGCTCCTATCCCACCACGCTAAGAAAAGCGTGTATAGGAGAGGTTTCCAAGGCGATACGAACATCAAAGAGGGGATTTTAGGTGATTACCCACTTCGTCGCAAGCGTCGGGACGCACGTCCTCCCACCACGCTAAGAAAAGCGTGTATAGGTGGTCGTTTTGTCTCGCCTCATGCATCGAAACGAGTTCTCTAAAATTTGCAAATTCTATCTTTTTTTTCTCTTCTTTTTTTTTTGTTTTTTTTTTGTTTCTCCTTTTCTCTCTCTTTTTTTTTTTTTGCATCATCTCTATATATATATATATTTTTTTTTTTACATTTGCACACACATGCATGTACACATATATATATGTCCAACAATATTGGCTAACAGAAATACTCATAACATTAACTTCACCAAATAGCAACATTAATTAATATCCATACATGACAAGAAAATCAAAAGCAAACAATAATAATAAGGTTGAAATGAAAGTTTGCTGTTTGAAGTTTTGTGAGGGAATGTGAAAGATAACCTTGGGTGAAATGAGATAGTGGGGTGGTACAGCAAATGAAGGTAGGGATTAATGTCTTTTGGATAATAGATTTATGAGGTGAGAAGCTTTGTTGGCTGCAGCATGCAAGATGTGTGCTTATCTAAAGAATTGGTGAGCTTCATTCAGCCACTAATGACACAAGCAAAGTGGATAAACAGGGAGTTCGGAAGAATATCTTAAAGCAAAATATAAGTACATGCATTTAATATAATTATTAATGTAAACAATTAATGATAATAGTTTATTTAACTACAGAAGTTAATAAAGGTGAAGGAATCTCACAGCAGCTTTTCCTCTCTCCCTTGGAACATGCAAATAAGCTCACGGGTGGAAGTGTAGGACAAAAGGAAGAGTTAATAAAATGAAGAAGCTTGTGGGATGTGAGGAGGTTGCATGCGGATGAACCTCTTAGGGACGGACGCTGCAGGTGAGTTCGATTAAGATTGAAGACGAGTGGAAGGGAAGGAGAGATACTTCCGCAGGTTCATAGTAGAGATGGAGAAACCAGCTTTTGGAAGGAAATGATTTGATCGTTTGGAAGTGGAAATTGCTACAGCAAGTGGACGAGACTATGGTTGTAAACTGCAAATTTCCTGTGCTTTGAGCTCTTCCTGAAAGCTGCCTGATTCTCGGCACAGTGGAGGCGGAACAGGTGCTGGAGCTCGGTAATCTTCCTTGAGGGAGGTCGGATTTGGACTGGTGAGATCCCTCTGATCCAAGCGTCAAAATCGGTATATTGATAGCTTAGAAGGGGCGTTTTGACGGAGAAAAGGCCAATCTAATATTGTGGCTATTTGCTTGAGCCGGACTTTGGCAAGGTCACATCGGGTGAGAGTCGGAGCAGAGGAGAAACAGCCAACATCTCCTGGAGGTTTTGCTAGATTCGCTTGAGTGGAGTGAAACAGGAGGAAAGGTTGTGGGAGGAGATTCGGCCAGAGAGTTGAGTTGCTCGGTGTAGATGAGTTCAGGATCTCATGCTCAGGCAAGAGTTGCAATTGGAGCAGGAGGGTTGGGGGCGGACACATGAACAGGAGCTGATAAGAAAAATGGCCCAAAGGAGCTCTCGGTTTTGAAGCTTTTAGCTCACGATTGTGTGGGTAAAAAACGAAGCAGAGGGATTGTTTTGTTGATTTCATTTTAACTAGGAGAGCAAACAGCGATCAAGGCAATCTACTCAGCGGCGGGATTTGAGGGATTTTGGACAGAGCAAATACAGAGTTACGAGGTAAGAGTTTTAATGAGATTTGATATTCAAATTGACTTTGCATTGTTGGTTAGATTTATGAGCAACTATAAAAATGATTTTTCTTAATTGGTAATTGCATTAATTAATGAGCATATTGATGCACAGTCACTGAAACAATCTCGATTTTCGAGATTTCCTTGAGATTTGTGCGCATGTCACCTCGAAATGCGTGTAATCACCTCGTTTAACATGTCAAATTCATCAAACATAGATATTAGACAAATTGGTAGTGCATTTAGGGTATTGCCGATGTCCCGGTCGTAATGGCGCAGTCCGTTTTGCCATCGGACGTCGTTTGGGCGGCAACGAGGCTTAATTTCCTCGAAGTGCGTGTTTGTCTCGATTTGCACGCAAAACATCATTCAAACAAATTGGCAGTGCATTCATAGTATTGACAGTGTTTCAGACACAATGACGAAGTCCGTTTTGCGATCGGACATCATTTGGGAAACCTCGAGACCTCTTTTTCGATATATGTGTTTTGCCTCGAGATTCGTGCCACCATTATGGATACTTAAAATTGAATAAATAAAATTTAGTTTTAGAGGTTGACAACATTTCGGACGCAATGGCACTGTCCGTTTGTCGATCCGACATCGTATGGTCTCTGACGAGGCTAATTTCCCTTGTTAGGCGTGCCTTCGCAACATATTTGAATCGCCTTTGCAAATTGCCACACCACCTCAAACGATCCAATTTAATCAAATAAAATGTATATTCCCAATGCCGACGACGTTACGGATGCAATGGCACTGTCCGTTTGTCGATCCGATATTGTTTGATCGGCCTAGCGCTTTAATTTCGGGTGTCGGTCGTCCCTTTTGACCGATCTGGTCCGATTCAATTGCGAGGGGCTTCGACCTAGCAGAATTCGACGTCCTGGTCGCAATGACACAATCTGTTTAGCAATCAGAGGTTGTTTGAACCTTCAAGTGACGCATGGCGCCAAGGTGCGTAATGCTTTATTCACCAATTGGGGTCCTTTCTCACGTGGTTTGAGATATAGGGGTCAACAGAAGGCTAGTAAGGATGGATTTTCAATTCATCATTGATAAAGTCTTAAAGATGTTGAACACTTGGGGTGGTAAATTTATTTCATTGGCCGGAAGAATCACCTTGGTCAAATCGGTATTGCTTTCATATCCAACCTTCCACTCCACTCTTTCTATGATTCCAAAATGTTTATTAAATGAGATTGACAAGTTATGTAGAAGTTTCATCTGGAATAAAATGAATGGAGGTTTAGGACTTCATTATGTGAGTTGGAATACATTGTGTGAACCTTTGGAAGATGGTGGTCGTGGTTTGCACTCTTGTTCTAGCAAGGTTGGACCTTTGAGGGATAAATTAGCATGGAGGTATATTCAAGATAAAGAGTCCTTGTTGCACAAGACCTTATTCCTGAAATATGGCTCTGTTTGGAACTACAATGCTGGGAAGAAAGCAAGTTCGCCAGCTTGGAAATTAATTGTGGATGGAGGCAAATTTCTCAAACCAATTGTGAGGTGGTGTATTATAAATGGTGATTTAATAAATGTCTTTAATGATACATGGGTATTGGATAAATGTATAAATATGTGGCCAATGTTTGTGGTGCCTAAAGATTTCAATGGAAGGGATAGGGACAATAAGCAATCTCATTTCAGAAGGGACGTGAGATATTGAAGAATTGAAGAAGAATTTTGGTAGCGATCTTGTGGAATTGATTAGTAACATAGTAATTAATTCCAATCTTCATGAAGACATGATTGCACTAATTCAACAAAATACTGGGAAAACAATTTCTGCGCTGGCTGCTGCAGCTATGGTGAAAATATGTCCGGAACAGGAGTATTTGAAATGGATAAAGAAGACTAAGCTCAATGCTCGGGTGGAGAACTTTTGGTGGAGATTATTTAACAATGCCATACCAACATTTCATTTTTTATCATATAGAAGATTGCAAACTAATAACCTTTGTCCCAGAGGTTGTAACGTTATTAAAGACTTAGATCATGTGGCCAGTAATTGCGAGAAGCTTAATGAGGTGTTACATTATTTAAATAAATGGGGATTTGGTATCTCATTTTTTAATTCCTTTGAAGATAGATGTAAGTGGCTGGACCTTCAAAATTTATTTATGGTGAATTTGTTTTGCAATGCGTTATTCTTTACATGGAAGGAGAGGAATGTTTTGGTTCATGGGAAATCTGAGAGGAGCTCAATGTTCATTGCAGCTGAATCGGTTAGTCATTCAGCTGCCTCTAATGTTTCCAATTTTTTAACTCGGGCCGGTTGGTTGCCAATCAGCATTTGTTGTTGAATAATATTTGGCATCCTCCTCCACCCGATTGGATCAAACTAAATGTAGATACATCCTTTTTAACGTCTTACAAAGGAAGTATAGGTGGTGTTTATGGTGATCATATAGGCAGGTTTCTTTTGGCTTTTGACATTTCTTGTGTTCATTGGGATATATCTCATTTGGAGCTACTAGCTATAAAAGAAATTAAATATGTTATCAAAAGCTGGATGTTTGAGTATAAGGGCATCATTATTGAAGGTGATAGTGCCAATGTCATCAAGTTCATCAAGAAGGAGATTAAAGAAGGTGGACAAGGAGTAGAAGACTTTTCTTTTATCAATGACTTTAATTTTGTGATTTTTAATTATATAGAAAGGTCTTGTAATAAGTTAGTGGATCTTTGTGCTAACTATGCTCTTTTTTCTTCTTTTTGTTGGGAAGAAATTGTCTTGAATAAGGTTATTCCTTCGTTTATTAAATTGTTAAAGGAGGAATCTGTAGGAGGTACTTTGTAGGTTGCTCTGTTCCTTTTTTTTTTTAAGTTATAAATGCAGCAATTGCTTCTTCTTCTTCAAAAAAAAAAAAGAGTAATAGTTTCAATCAATTTGAGATGAATATGACTAACTACACCAATTTTTAACCTAAATGAATTTATTGAAACCATTCCAATCTTATATCAAACATTTTGGTCCACAACTTAGCCTTCATAAATCAACAAAAACAATTTCATTATGTCCTATCTAAGCTTCAACAAAATTTTCCTTTACAAACAAGTAGTATAAATAAAACAATAAAAAAAAAAAGTAGCTCACACAATGTGCTATGAAACTTCTATCATGCACACTATTTTGCTTTGTTACATCTTAATATCTTATCATACCAATAACACAGGATGACTATGAGCTATAGAGTGCGCTATTTTGTACTATTGATATCATGTTCAAAGAAATATTTAGGTTTCGTTTGAAACGGCTTTTTTACTGCTTCTTAAAGTAGTTTTTTAGTATAAAATTTTTAATTTTAGTATAAAAAACTGCTTTAAGAAGCCGTAACAAAGTCGTCCCAAACGAAGCCTTATTGACCCAGCAAATATGATGAATTTTTTTTCTTTATTTATTTGAAATTCTCTGTTTTCGAGCTGTAGGATTCATAAGCTGAATTCATCACCTTCAATTTCTGCAACTTTTTGAGGGATTTGAATCCCTCTTTTCTTATTTATACTGAAAGGGCAACGGCAACGTCGGCAAGTCAAGCGCTTGCTCCTTGATTGTAAATTTCAATGGAACATTGAAGAATGTAAGTAGAACTCCTATCTCAGAGAAATATGCTAAGTTAGAGACTGTTCTGTCATTAACTTATGGTTACAGCAAATATATGTCGACACCATTCTGTTCTCAACTTATGCAGCAGCAGTCCTATACTATTACTATTCATGGCTTTAGCTAATATTAAAAAAGTTCTTTTATGTAGTAAAGCCTAAATTAATGTACAAGATTAAGGCTTTGTTTGGGACAACTTTCTTATTGCTTCTTAAAGCAGCTTTTTAGTCTAAAAATTTTATACTAAAAAACTGCTTTAAGAAGAAATAAGATAACTGTCCAAAATGAAGCTTAAGAATCCTTTTTGGGATGATTGAAGCTGTATGTAAAATTAACTGTAGATTTTTGAAGGAAAATTAAAGATTTTGAACTCTTGTTGATATTATATTTTATTTCTCTTCTAAAAAAGGCAACAATAGAATTCTTACAACAACTATCACATTTTAGCTTATCTGATTGTAAAAACTACTAATCGTAGAATGTTCAAAGAATTATAGCCAAACAGATATATGACAATGATCTGTACAATAAAATTATAAAAGAATTGTATGACTAGATTTGATCGAGACCTTAATGTGTCGAATTTGCCTTGAATTTGGACCAGATTGAGCTAATCAGGTGTATGACTAATTCTATATTGATTAAGTCACTATAATGCCTCTAACCTTCTTGTCTTCCAAGTGATTTATTTAGCTGTTGATTTGGAATTGAGCACAGAACTGATGGTTAAGTAGCTCTATTCCATTATGAAAACAACTCTAAAGTTGACGGCATCAACCTTGTTAGTTGTAAAGATGAATGGCTGAATGCTATAAAGTCAAGCCATGCATAAACATGTTCTCCTTCAGACATGTTCTTTTACCCTAGTCATGAAGTATCTCTGGATAATCATAGATTATTACGTGTGGAGTTTGGATCTGGAGAACCGTTCGGTTGTATCACTGTGAACAGTAAAATCACAGTTACTGTTCACCACAATACTTTTATAGCACTTTTACTGTTCAAAATCACAAAACCGAACAGTTCTCTGGATCCGAACTCCGCACGTAATAATCTCTCATGTACAAAGACTAGTTAACTGTTGGTCTATAACATTTTTCAATATATATATATATATATATATAATGATGATAGTATAATACTATTAGTATAATATCTACTTCAATGACATTAATTGGTATGCACAATTTTAGATTGAAACAACAAGCCCTTTATTTATTGGAACTATATGATATGATATGATATGATATGTATATGATATTTTTTTTATTTGGTTTTAATTGTTATCCGGGATTGTCTGGCCTTAACTAGGTAAATCTCGTAGATAATTGTATAATATGATATAGACTGTACAATATGATTCAATTTTCAATTTATCTATTTAAAGAGAAGAACATATAATGATTTATACAATTATAATTATAATTAATTGTATGGACTGATTTGAATTGTTTTTGTTAAACTATAATTAATATTCTGAATTTATAGCTTCTATTTCTGAAAAAAAAAAAAATCTAAAAGATTAGTTTATGATAGCTCAACTAAAAAATGATCCTCTAAAGTGAACTTTCAAATTAGCTCAAAGTAGCCCAAACAAAACTAGTCTTAGTATTTCTTTGATCATACCCCTACAAACCCCTCATCTTTCCACTAAAAACTCTGGATCACTTCTTTTAAAAAAAAAATAAAGTAACTAAATACTCATAAGTAATTTTTTTACTAATCCCACCAAAAGGGCCTCCCATCTTCATCAGAGTAGAGCACTATTTTTTAAAAATTAGTTTTATTGGACATGCTTTAAATGCACGTAAATAAAAAATATAAAATAAAAATTCATATAATGAATAATTTAATTATATTTTATTTAATAAAAATAAATTATTATTTTTATTTTTATAATCTTATCTAATTATTAATAATATTAGCAAAAAGTTATATATTCTTCTTAAAATTATTATAGCAATAATGATAGCGAGCACTAACATGATAGATTTATTTTGTTTTGAGATATTCTCAAGCTTTTTCATAATGGTCTCGTTAAAAGACTGAATTCATGATTGATCATTCTTTTCATATGTGTTCGCCATTTCCAAATGTAAAACTTTCATAGCTCTCGAATATTGTACTATGGCCAATAATCAGTTTTGTATTATGGCTTAGTTTTTTACCCTTCCTACTACATATTTTCTTCCATGTTTTTCTAGATAGTGAAATGTATTAATTTTTTGTAATCAACAGCTGAAGTGAGCAATGGATCTAAGAACATCACACAAAAGGGGCACTAAATTAAAATATTCATTTTTTTATTTTAAAATATGACCTGTTTTAGTTAGTAAATTTGTTTATGAAGTGAAGTAATGACAAAATAAGTGCATAAAGTAATAAATAATTTTTGATTAATTTATTAATATTATATATTTCAAGTTATATTTTAAAAAACAATTAAACAAAGAAAAGGAGAACCAAAGGAAGCATTATAAATCCTTCGGCGAGGTACCAATAGTGATCAATGATATAAATTCTTGATCAATATTAACATCATGAATTATAACACCTTACAAATAAAAAAAGAAATCGGAGAAGAGAGAGAATTGATTACCAACAATAAAATAGCAGGTAGTCCATCAACCCCTCTGTGATCTGAGAATATGTCTGCCTTTGAGATCAATAGAGCCATCCTTAGTGAAAATTGGACTCCCAAACTGCGAGCCATTCAAAATCCAAGGGTAGTGAGAGTATCCCAAACATTTAAAGGTAGATAGACAAAGTAAAGTGAGCACCATAAGAGGATTGAGGGATAGAAGAGTGAGGCTGTCTGTGCCTACTGCAATTCAGTTGTATGATCTTCAAGTCAAACTTGGCCTTAACTAACCAAGCAAGGTTGTAGATTGGTTACTTAATGCTTCTCAACATGAAATCGGCAAACTTCCAACGCTACCGCTTTTTCTAGAAAATTTAATTCAGTTTCATCAAACTTTGGTTTCTTCTTCTTCAGTTGCTAATGTTGGAAATACTGAAAATTTTATTGATTCTGATCATAGAGCTCAAACATTCAGTATTGATCAAGATGTTTTAATAACAATGTTGTTGATGATCAGAATGTAGCACAATTTTTCAGAAAACACCATACTGGAATTCTAACATTTTCATGAAAAGAAGATTAGTAAGCGATAGCGGTGGAAGTTTGGTGATTTCATGTTGAGAAGCATTAAGCAACCAATCTACAACCTCGCTTGGTTGATTAAGGCCAAGTTTGTCATGAAGATCATACAATTGAATTGCAGTATGCAAAGATTGTGAAACTCTTTAATTTTTCATGATTTTTATTTGGTTGACCTAGATAAATCCAAATTACAAATTGTCTTCACCATAACATTTATAATGTCATGTTTTAGCTTCCCTAATTTTTTCATAATTTTTGGGCTTTGTTGAAATTTCTTAAGAAATCGACACATATGGGTACAAGTGGGGGTTTTGGGATTGTTAGGTGTTCGTTTTGTAAACCGATTTCACCATAATTTTTTAAATAAAATAAGTTAATTTATGAATGTTTTTTTGTAATTTTTTGGAATCTTTAAAAAAAATTTAAGAATTTTTTTTTCTGAAAATTAATTATTATATATTATTTAACCAAAAAAAAAAATCTAAAAGCACTTATCTATTATTAAAACTCTTTTTTCTATGCCATTTTCTCAGTTTTGATCAAAAACAGAGAATTGCTTGTGAAATAAGAGAGGATAAAGAGGGGTGAGAGAAAAGAAAATCCAATTTTTGGGTGACTTCGGGTTGTTTTCATTCGTCGACGCATTTGAGAAAGTTATTCGTCTCGAGATAAGGCACATTATGCCCATCTAAATTTTCAAAAATGTGCAAGTTTTAACGAATAATACGATTAAAATTTTGTATCCGTTAGCGAAAAATGGGGATAACTTTGCACCGTTAAAACTTTCACTATATAACTTTTTGTATGTTGTAGAGATTATGATTATGCACATTTTGAATATTTTCTAGAAATTTTTCAACTGGGGTTTTGAAATTAGTAGGATTTTAAGTGAGTAAAAAATTATCGGGATGTTGAAAAATAGTATTGTAGTACAATAAAAGTTTTAAAACATTATTTTATAGTATCCCTAGTAATTTGGTAATTTTTTGAAAATGTACATTTTTGCATAGTTGGATTATCTATTATCTATTGTTATACGATACTGTAACATTTTGATATATGCTCAATTACTCTTTTATTATTATATTATGATGATATATGTATATATGATTAAATTTTATCTGATGAGAGCTAGAAAGGGTCATAATCCTTTAAGATTCTCTCTATGTCAGGAAATTTTTGGGAGTTATAAGAGGTTAGAATTCTTTGAGATTCTATCTGAGACAACAATATCTGATGTGTTTTGGTGCTATAAGTATAATTAAAAAGGGAGTCATAAGGGGCCAGAATCCTTTGAGATTATGTCTAGGTCCAAGAAATATGATCTGAACTATTCTATGATATGAATTTCAATTTATTAATTTTATTCTATAATATTATCTGAATCATAGAATAACTACTATGCATTTATTATATTTTTTAGTTTTGTGATTTTTCATTCAATGATTTATTTAAACTGCAATTAACTGCTTTTAATTATTTAGTAAAATATTTGATAAAAGAATATTTGAAAATTTAGATTGATTTGTGTGGTTTGCTGAGCTGTTGTAGCTTACTATGATTTTACTTCTGGTTTCTCAAGATCTGGGAAGGAAAAAGAGTTTGTGGACTAGCTGTTTAGGATTAGATCTAAGGTCATATGTATTTTGCTATTTTGATTTTTGTACAATCATGACTAGTTTAATTTCTAGTTCTGTAGCTCTTACCTTTTGCCATGTACTATAATGTAGATATTTATTTTTATGAATGAAAGAAAATTTATGGATGAGTTTTTCAGTATTTGAATATTTTAGTAGCTTTTTGATTCATCATTTATTTTAATGAATATAAATATAAAAAGTCAAATAATTCAAACACTAGATCTTAGGGTTTTCTTGTCACAACTCTACACAATAGGACTTATCTTGGTAGGGTTTGATTGTGATAAGCTTTTGTGGTATCAAAAAAATAGTTTTGGAATTTGATCATAAAATAGAGCTATAGTAATTGATATGTATGTCTATTGGGATAGTTTCAAGTCTACTTTAGTGTTCATTATTTTTTTTTTATGTGCATGTGTGTTCAGTTTCATATTCTATGTGTTTATGGATCCACCAGACCCAAATATGACCGACGGACAGAGTGCTAGTCATGCAGCTGATGTATATAGTTATAATCCAATAGTTAGTTTAGATGCAGTTTCATAGTTTGCTACATTGATAACTCAGATGATGGGTGAGGCA